CTTAAGATGCTTTAAAACTTTGCAATGTTTAATCTTAGAATCTGTTTCTTCATGATTTTGTATTTGTTCCACGTATTTGTGGCTTGTTTTCTACATTATTCTGTAAGCATCTTGAGAGTAAAAGTCTTATTTTTATTTATTTATTTATTTATTATTTTTTAGAGTTGGAGGTCTCACTATATTGACCAGGCTGGTCTGGAACTCCTGGCCTCAAACGATCCTCTTATCTCGGCCTCCTAAAGTGCTGGAATTATAGGCACTGGCCACTGTGCCCGGCCTAAGAGATTTATTTTTAAGCTTTTATAATCATTTACAATAATCATTTATTATAAATAGGTAATTCCAAAAAACTTCTTGGTATTGAGGTACACATGTATCTTAAACTGTTATACCGTGCACAAAGTGAGGAGAATTCTCTGGACGTCGAAAACGTTTGGCTTTAGCTGGGCTAAACAAAGAGTGCTAGAAACAGCAGATACCTTTAAAATTTTTAAATGAAACTTTAGTAAAAATTTGAAGACATCAGGGTAGTTTTGAAAAAAAGGATTTAAAAATATTAAACTTCATTACATATACCCAAAACCACTAGAAAGATACAAAGAAGGGAAATCAATGATGCGTAAATTTTGCTGTGGAAGATTTTGTAATTTCCTGAATTGATAAGCTAGGATAAATATAATAAATAGACCTATGAACCCAACACTTTGGGAGGCTGAGATGGGAGAATCACTTGAGGCCAAGAGTTCGAGACTAGCCTTGTCAACATACTGAGACCTCATCTCTACAAAAGATTTAAAAATTAGCTAGGCATAGTGGCACATGCTCTAAGTCCCAGGTACTCAGCAGGCTGAGATGGGAAGATCACTTGAGCCCGAGTTGGAAGCTGCAGTGAGTCACGATCATGCCACTGTCTTCCAGCCTAGGCAACACAGTGAGATCATGTGTCAAAAATATATATATTAGCAGAAGAACTGCAAAGAGCACTCTGAAATTCCCAGAAGGATTAAGGATAAATGGAATATATTGAGGATTTACTTTGTCACTGGGCTTAATGCTTACACACATTGTTTTTCATTGTTTTATTTACTTCTTGAAACAATTCTAGAGAGACAGAGAATAGTGGTGATGTTAAAGTATGGGATATAGGGAAAAGCTGAGGCCGGATAGGTGTGAAAAAATAATGCAGGTGGTTTTGGTTTAAGGTACTGAATGAGGAATCAGGAAGCGGGCATTTGAAACAGGCTAGTGCGCGGGTACACACGCATAGTCCCCAGTTACTAAAGAAGCTGAGTGGAAGGATCACTTGAGCCCAGGGGTCAGGACCAGCCTGGGCAACATAGTGAGCCCTCACTCTCTAAAAATATACATATTAACAAAATAATAAGGTAAAGAAATTGTGTGACAGAGACTGGGCAAAAAGTCAGAGCTAGTAGATTACTTGGAATTCTTGGCTGGGATATGACTCTTAAAACCACCAGAAGCCAGATGTGGTGGTTCATTCTTGCAGTCCCATCACTTTGGGAGGTAAAGGCATGTGGATCACTTGATTCAGGAGTTTGAGAGCAGCCTGGGCAACACGACAAAACCCAGTCTTAAAAAAATAGAAAGGAGAAAAAAATTAAAAAAACACACAAAAACTTAGCTGAGCCCCATGGCATGTACTTGTGGTCCCAGCTACTTGGGAGGCTGAGGCAGGAGGCTCACTTGAGCCTGGGAAACAGAGGTTGCAGTGAGGTGAGATCCCAACAGCGGGAAACCCTGTCTCAAAAACAAAATTAAAATTAAAAAGATGATTAGAGAACATGAGGGTTTTCTTCTTTGTCCATTTTTTAAATTATACTTTAAGTTCTGGGGTACATGTGCAGAAAGTACAGGTTTGTTACGTAGGTATGCATGTGCCATGGCAGTTTGCTGCACCCATCAACCTATCATCTATCATCTACATTAGGTATTTCTCCTAATACTATCCCTCCCCCAACCCCACCCCCTAACAGGCCCCAGGGTGTGATGTTCCCCTCCCTGTGTTCATGTGTTCTCACTGAGAATACAAGATTTCTTAAGAGATCTTATATAGGGTTTGGTGAAGCTTGTGTTGTAATTTTCACTAGAATAAAAATAATTTGTTGGCTAAGAATGCAGATAAGGGAAAACGTCAAAAAAATGAAAATGTCAATGTCATGGTGGAAGCAAGGGGAAAGAATAATTCAGAATGAGAAGGTACCAGGCAGGCATTGTTGTTATGAACACTCAAGTGGATGCAGAACGAGGAGGACTGACTTTTGAGTGGGGAGCTTAGTACAGTAGAAACAAACAGAAACAAAGGAATGATTGGGGTCTGAGAAAAATGAAGCAATGAAGTGAGCCCTCTTTTCCCCAAAAGTTTAATGGCAAAGGGAAAAAAGGAGTAATAGAATCAAGGAAGCGGGTGAGCATATTTCTGGAGTAAAAAGAAAAGGAAAAAATTTTTAAATTAAGAAAAAAAAAATCAAGGAAAGATTTTTTTGGAAGGTGAGGGGTGGTGGCAGGAGATCTTACCACATAAAAGGACAAAAAAGAGAAAATAGGCAAAACAGACTATCTCTAGGAGTGAAGTAAAATAGCATAAAATTGTTGGTTCAGCAAATAATAGGATACAAGTATTTTAATTTCTCACTTCTTTGTCTTAAAATACTTGTAAATACAATTTAAAGATAAATACAAGATTTATTTACTTGTAAATACCTGTACATTTATCTACTTTAAAATACTTGTAAATACAATTTAAAGATAAATAAAATAATACAATTTATTTTAATATAACAAGAATAATACAATTAATTTCATTAATCTCAAAAGTTGGACTCCATGACAGAACGTTTTGGAGCACTGATTTTTTTGCTTGATTATAACTACCTCTCAATCACTTTTTTAAGTTGCATGAGTATTTTAAGACAAGGAAGTGAGAAATTAAAATAGTTGTATCCTATTATTTGTTACCTTAACTTGTTACCATAATTTCTTACTTATAAAATAAGATTTCAGATACTAACTTGCATTAGAGTTTTCATAAGAGATAATACTGAATACAGTTACTTAAAAGTTTACATTTTAATAGCAATACAAATCTAAATGGGAAGTCATACACTTTTAACATTTGTCACAAAGCTAGAACGACTCAAAAAAGAAACTGTACTTACAAAACAAGCTATTTTATATTTCTTAAGAGTGTTCTTCTTAGCAGGTTGTTCTGCTGCTAAAGTCAGCATAGATTCCATTGTCCTGGTAGCTTTCTAGACCTGTTTTATCAGAATACAATCGTGCTCCTGCCTTCCTCTAGTCTGGCAAAGAGAAACTGTATGAGTTATATAGCTGTGCCTGGCTTTTAAATGTTTAGGAAGATCACAGCTCTTCAGTGATTGGGCAATCCAGAGAGAGGAAAAATGCTGTAATAACAATAGTGTGAAAAGATTAAAGTTCATTTCTAGTATATTGCAGACAGCTGTTCCTTTTTTCCTTATAACTTTCACTAAATACTAATCAAGACATATATAACAAGAATAATACAATCAACAAATTTTAATACAATTTGATCATGTGTTTTCTTTAAAAATAACCCCAAACGCAAAGCCTTGTGCCAGAAATTTCAGACTTTCTGTTTCTCTGCAAACTTCATAGCAGCTGAAAATCCACATAGCAAAACATGTGCTTTGACTGCAATAGAAATTCTGAAACTCTATCGAACCAATATCAAGTACTTAGTTCTGTGATGATTATGTCTTGAATTTTGCAGTGTTTACAATTTGACAAGTTTTTATACACATTAGCTCAAGTCAAACTTAACAATATCCCATATAAACATTTTATTCTTGTTTTTAGGTGAGCAAATTAAGGCTCCAGTTATTTAAATTATTATATATGACTATTGCTCAAAGTTACTTGTTTACTACATGCCAGAACTAGAACTGATACCAAAGACTTCTACCTCCCCAAATCCAAACAATTTTCACTAATCAATGTAAATTCACTATTTTCTAACTATCTAGACTGGGGCAACCTAGCGTGTGTGCTCCAAGCTGAAAAGGGGCTAGAGCTTTGTGATTAAAGAAGCTAAATTAATAATAGTGTTGGCCAAAGAGAGTTTTAGCAAATAGTGAATGTTAAGCTCTTCTAGTTTCAGTGGCCCTAAGCCAGTGATTCTCAAAGTGTGGTTCCATGGAACATGAGTTCTATGATAACCCTCTCGGTTAAATAAAGCTTGGGTACCCTTCTTTAATGAAAAGATTGTTGAAATCCTGTAGACTGCAGTATACTCTTTGGAAAACTATTCTAACTAAATTCTTCCAACCCTAAAAGCAGTGAGAAAAAAATATGAAAAGAATATATTGTAATATAAATACAATGACTGAGTCACTACTCTAAGTAAACACATCTAAATCTTGGTATTTAGCCACAATTTCTGAAAATCATTTCTAAATGCTCTTTACGTTATTAAAGTCCACTCAAAATCTGGGCTCAGTGCAGTGGCTCATGACTACAATCCCAGCACTTTGAGAGGCCAAGGGGAAAGGACTGCTTGAGTCCAGGAGTTTGAGACCAGCCTGGGCAACAAAGGAAGATTCTGTCTCTACAACAACAACAAAAATTAGCCAGGCATGGTGGCACATGCCTATAGTCCCAGCTACTGGAGAGGCTGAGGCGTGAGGATCCCTTGAGGCCAGAGTTTGAGGCTACAGTGAGCCATAACAGATATACAAACAAATACAGACAAATTTCAGACAAAGACATGAGAGGGTACACTCAGGCAGAACAGACTCAAAATGCACTCAAAACTTGATCTTCCCCATCTCTACTAAAAATACAAAAAATTAGCTGGGCATGGTGGTGCGTGCCTGTAATCCCAGCTACTCAGGAGGCTGAGGCAGGAGAATTGCCTGAACCCAGGAGGCGGAGGTTGCGGTGAGCCGAGATCGCACCATTGCACTCCACCCTGGGTAACAAGAGCGAAACTCCATCTCAAAAAAAAAAAAAAAAAACCTGATCTTAACAAAATGCAAAGTGGGTGTAGGCCAGCCCTATTGCTTCCCTAGAAGTACCAGGCAAATGGCTTAACAAGCCCAGATAGGAAAACAATAGGCTCCCGGCATAGAATTTGGTTTCACCCTTTGAGCATGTCCACCCCAGTCTCTGTTGTTTTCGGGGAGGGAGAGGGACATGCGGTTTTTCACATGAGATAGCCCTCAGGAAAGTCCCCAGGAAAATCTCACCTGGCAGCTGCTGGGAATCTCCCGAACACTATCTTGTCAGAAGCCAGTGGCTGATGAACAGAGCACTGTCCCAGTGGCTCCTGGCTGGCTCACCAAATTTGTTCCTGGATCAAACCAAGGGTGGGGTTGTTTATTTTCGCAGTCCAATAATGAGATGCAGATGAACTGAGAAAGAAGAGAGTTTATTTCTGCAACTAGGCACAAGGCTGTAAAAATATCACCAGGCCAACTCAAAATTAAAAAGTTATATATACCTTCCAAGCTCTATGACTACATGTAAGTGTGCATTCATCTTAAGACATAAATGATTAATTTCTTCTAATCTATAACTAAGGTCTGAGTCTTGGAGACCTTCCTCTGGAGCCTCAGGAAATTTAAAATTTACTTAATCCACATGGGTCCAGGTGCCAGAGATGATCACCCTTATCTTGTCTCCTGCTAAGTTATAGAGGTCTGGGGAGTTCCTTTAGGCCCTCAATAAAACTTGTTTCATCCTAAATGGATCCTGGTATGAGGAGTGTGAGTATTCCTTCATTATCTTGTCATGCTTCAAGGCCCAGGAAGGCCTGGGCAAGTATCTTGGTAGGCCTTTGTCACTTGTTCCAGCCTTTGTGTAAGGGCATTGGCTCTCTCAGCTTTTAATATTTAACCTAACTATTCAGTCAGTGCTGAAACAGTTGTTATGGAGGCCTGCCTGTTCAGCGTTTGTGAGCCCTGGCCTGCCACATGATCACACCACTGCACTCCAGCCTGAGAGAAAGAGCAAGGCCCTGTATCAAAAAATTTTAAAAAGCTAGATGTGGTGGCTTACACCTGCAATCCCAACACATTGGGTAGCTGAGGCAGGAGGATTGCTTGAGTCCAAGAGTTCAAGACCAGCCTGGGCAACAAGGCAAAACCCTATCTCTACTAAAAATTCCAAAAATTGTCCATGTGTGTCCTGTAGTCCCAGCTACTCGGGAGGCTGAAGTGGGTGGATCACTTAAGGCTAGGAGGTTGAGATCATGCCCCTGCACTCCAGCCTGGGCAACAAGAGTGAGACCCTGTCTCAAAAATACTTTAAAAAATAAAAAAAATAAATATAAATAAAAAATAAATCTGCAGTGTGAGAGTCACATTTCCTTTTCTGGCTTTGTGGGTTTTTTCCTTGGTCCAGTATACCCCCCACTTCATCAGTTCCACCTTTACCTGTAACCAGCAGAAGCATCGGCATTAGTTGTTGATACAGAGGAATTCATTTTAGAACTAGAAGATCCCACAAAGACAACCAAATCCAGGTTTTATTTCTTTCCAAGAACCACATGGACTATCATGTGTTTAAAAACCAGAATAAAAAAATTTGAATAATTTAGGCACCTGATTCTCCACACTGGATGAACTTAGAGAAGTACTCAGAGAAGTTTGGGTTTTTTTTTCTTTTAAATTTTTTATTGTTCTAATTCTGAAGCCCAGGCTCCACTTCAGTTTAATGATCTTCTGTAGTTTTGGCTAGGGCAGCAGTATTTTTCAAATATCCTGGCAGGGTCAAACCTGTAATCCCAGCACTTTGGAAGGCCAAGACAGGTGGATCACCTGGGATCAGGAGTTTGAAAGCAGCCTAGCCAATGTCGTGAAACCCCATCTCTACTAAAAATACAAAAATTAGCCAGGCATGGTGGGAGATACCTCTAATCCCAGGTACCTGGGAGGCTGAGGCATGAGAATCAGTTGAACCTGGGAGGTGGAAGTTTTGGTGACCTGAGATTATGCCACTGCACTCCAGCCTGGGCAACAGAGTGAGACTTTGTTTCTAAATAAACAAATAAAAATAAAAATATCCCTCCTAGTGATCTGATATGTAGTCCAGGGCAGTCTAAACACTTTACATTCAAATTCTTTTCTGCAAACATTTGGTTATGATTCTAATCAGACTTTCAAATTTTACAGATAAGGTCAGAGGACCAAAAAAGGGACTTGGTCACTTATGAGAGAGTCTTTCAGTTAGTGATATCTCAGAAGTGAAATACCACCAGGTTCCTACTTTAGAGTATTTTGAATCATACTGATTTTTTAAAAACAAAGACCAAACCTAGGTCATAATTTGTCTCAACTTTAGGCGATTCCTAAGATGTGTGGTTTTTATCTAATCATTTGATATGTGCCTTCCATTTCTATGGGTTCTGATTGCTTACTTACACTCATGGCAGTGCACCTACTCTGTCTTACCTCCAGTTCCTGGGAATCCTACTTTTCCTCCCTGCTGAGATAATTAGTTGTGTGTGTCAACTTGGCTAGTCCTTAGTATCCAGTTATTTAATCAAACACGAATCTAGGGTGATGTTGTGATGATATTTTTAGATGTGGTAACAACTACAATTAACTGGCTTTAAGAAAAGGAAATTGTCTTTAATAATGAGTGTGCCTCATCCAATCAGTTGAAATCCCTATGAGGAAAAACAGGCTTATCAGAGAAAAAATTCATTCCCAAAATAGTAGCATTAGCCTCAGTTGCCAGCCTGCCCTGTCCTACAGATTTTGGACATTACCTCCCCACCACAATCAGGTGAGCCTGGGCTTCAGAATTAGAAAAATTAAAAATTAGTGCAGCCTCCAACTTCACCAATTCCACCTATAGGCCTAACCAGTGAAAGCATCAACATTAGTTGTTGACCTTAACTTGCTTCTTTCAATCTAGGCTAAAGTCCAATGAGCTATCCATTGCACCACAGAGCCTGCCCTTAACCTGGTTCTGACACTCCAATTGCCCTTTCAGATGCTCTTTCTAGTATCTTCCAGGATGTAACTTGATTCTATACCAGTTTTGTCTACCAAGTGTATTAGTCCATTTTCACAGTGCTATAAAGAACTACCGGAGGCTGGGTAATTTACAAAGAAAAGGGCTTTAATTGACTCACAGTTCCACATGGCTGGGGAGGCCTCAGGAAACTGACAATCATGGCAGAAGGCAAAGGGGAAGGAAGAACCTTCTTCACATGGTGGCAGGAGAGAGAAGAGAACGTGTGCATAGGAGGTACCGTGAAACACTTATAAAACCATCATACCCTATGAGAATTCACTATCACGAGAACAGCATGGGGGACACCACCCCCAGAATCCAATCACTTCCCTCCCTCGACACGTGGGAATTACAATTCAAGATGACATTTGGGTGGGGTTACAAAGCCTAACTATATCACCAAGGTACTACTGACTCTCACTCTGTATCTTGACTAAGTGATTCCTTATGTCCCACACTGCCAGAATTTCTCTTCTCTCTTCCTTCATCCTCATCCCTTATCCCCTTTCTTTTTGTAATTTAAAAAAAAAGTGTGGGTACATAGTAAGTATGTACCCTTTCAACCCTGAAAAACACACAAAAAATTCCTAGATGGGGAAGTCAGGGGGCCTTTGATAAAGGCTTAGCTTTTAAGTGTCTGTCTCTATCACAAGTTAATTGATTCTGTACATTGAATTCTTCATTTTTGAGAATTATTAGAAATTATTAGATTATCTCTAGATCACCAAATTTTGGATATTATAATAGAGACACATCCTAGTCCTTCAGGTCCTGAGCTCAACAAACCTCAAAGACTTTGCCTATGTAAAATATAAGTAAGTATAGTGAAGATGGTTGGCATTGCCAAGTCCTTAGCCACATTTTCAGCCCTAACAATTCCTCTAAACCCCAACCTCTTTGGAGTCTTGCAACTTCTAGAAACTTATTCCTGGCTGGATGCAGTGGCTCACACCTGTAATCCCAGTACTTTGGAAGGCTGAGGCAGGAGGATTGCTTAAGGCCAGTTTGAGATCCACCAGGGCAACATAGTGAGACCCTGTCTGTATAAAAAATAAAAAATTATTCAGGAGTTGTGGTGCATGCCTGTAGTCCTAGCTGTTGCTATTCACTTGGGGTGTCTGAAAAAATATTAAAGATACTAACTTTTAGGAAAAGTTATAGATTAATTTCAAACCTTTTGGAAGGCCAAAAGGCTTTACTGGGGCAGGCTGAAAGCAGGCAGTGGGCTGGTCTATTAAGTTAGGGAGAAAATGGGGACAAGGCTTTTCCCAGTTTAAGTCTGCTTACCCCACATCCCTGTCTCCACTCTAACTGTTTACTCATGTTAACTTTGTGCTGGATGGCTCTCTCAGTGGGAGATCAAAGGGGAATTAGCTGTGAATCGTGTTTACTCTGGGCCTGGAACCTAAAGCTTTTATCATTCCTATAACCACTCTTTTAACCATGTTAATTATCCACAAGTGTGTTAACTTAGAACCTCTGTTGTAAATGTGTAATGGACAGAGGGTCTGAGTCGACTCGTTGCATTTTAGCTTCGGAAAGCAGCCAACGGCCATCCCTAGCCCACTTGAAACACTGTGATGGTGTGAGAATGCATTCATTCATCCATCGTTGAGTCAGGGTCTGCAGGTCGGACTTCCACAGACTGTGTCCCACATCTCACCTAGCTACTTGGGAGGCTGAGGTGGGAGAATGCAGGGAACATTACTTGAGCCTAGGAGTTTGGGGCTGTAGTGAGCTATGATGGCACCACTCCATTCCATCATGAGCACCAGAGTAAGATGACCATCTAAACAAAATGAAAGAAAGACACATTCCTAACAGTTCACCTGATCAATGGACACAAGCCAAAACCACACCTTCAATGCAACTTAGACTTTGGAATAGACGGCCTATGTCACTTACATTCTAAGTTAACTGGACCTTGAAAGTGTTGCTATTCTTCTTCAACTTCAGAACAATCTGTACCTTCTTTTATTTCCTTCTTCAACTTCAGAACAACCTGTATCTTCTTCGTTCTGAAAGCTTCATTCTGAACATTTTAATACTTAATGGCCTAGAACACATGCATTCTGAGAGGCAGCTACCATTTCATCACCCGTCAATGAAAACCATAAACATTCCTCATGTTACAGAAGGTCACAGTGTCCACAGAATTCTGGCAGCTTTTCTAAAATCACAGTAAACCCATTTGATGTTGTCTCAGAAAAGCCCCAGGGGCCTGCCAACACCAACTTCCTTAAGCCTCAGGAAGCTGCCCTTCCTGGTTCTAGTGCTAGAGCCTGGGTGGTAGGTGGACAAGTTAGACTGTGAGAGAGCCCAGAGAAACTAATCACACTGAGGAGGGTGGTGGAGGTGAGCAGGTACAGGCTCAGGTCCAACAGCAAAAGGAAGAAGGAGTCCACAAAGGAAGGGAAACCACAAATAATAACATAATAGCAGAGATAGATGGGAAGGTGACTAACTTCAGGGAGGTCCAGTCATGAGGAGAAAGCAGAAAAATCTACAAGGAGATTAGCAAGCACACAAGGCAATCAGAAAGGTAACCAGGTAGGTGGTTAGTATAGGAAGGACAGAAGCTAATCCTCAGCAAGTGGAGATCCAACATCAAAGCTGAATTGAGGACTGGCTGTCTCAGTAAGACTGGTGTCAGCAGTGCCAAACCAGGTCTGAGAGACAATGGTACATATCAGGAGACAGGGCAAACACCTCAGCATGGAATAGAAAGCCCAAGTTTTGGGGACTGAAATATAAGTAAAATGGATAAGTGACTAGTCCAAACAATAACTATGGCAAAGCGGAATCAATCACAGATTGATACCAGTGTTTGCCAGTAACTGTGTGTGTGACAAGATATTTTGTGACTAAATAAGTAAAAATCTCATTACTGATCAGCACAATGAACATCTATAATCAATTTGGAGATGAGGAACCTGATGTGAGGAATCTGTTGTGTAGCAATTGTTTTCTACTGTACGATCAGCAACTAAGGTTGTCTCTGGGTCCTGGGAGACCGTTCCTCTTACTTCCCCTCAAGTATAGACATCTTACCTAGTAGTGTCAGACTTCTAGGAGGCTTTTCTTGTTCATTTTGAAACTCAGAAATAATTTGATTTCCATACATTTTCCAGGTTTTCACAGGCTCTTCTCATTTTTAGTGTACTCATGAGGGCCTCATTTATGACCCAGATTCTAGAGATGTCTCCAGAAGAGACATTCTAAAACAACCATTCTGCCTGGGCTCTTTGAGGTAGAGCTCAGTGCCACAGTGCCCCACGGTGCCCATCCATGACTCAGAAGGTACAGGCCATGTACTGTTTACATCTCTGAAACATGGCACGAATCAAGTTATTTCCCAAACCTTTAAATTTCTCTCTTTGTGTTGACTCACCATGTCAGCTCCACGGTGTCAGGGACTAGGTCAGTTTGGGCTTGCAGTTTTGCTCTAGTATTTAGCATGGTGGCCAACACCTAGAAGACATTCAATGAACACTTGCTGAATAAATTTTGTTATGGTTTCAGAAATAAAATTAGAAGTCTAAGCTACCACATACATAAATGTCCAGTAAACCCAATTGTTGGAAATTATGATAACTTTCTTAGGTTTAACCTAAGAGTTATCTCTTTAGGTGGTCCAAATCTTTCTCTACATCCAGCATTGCAGAAATAGCTATTACCTCAAAGGAAGTCTTGTCCGTAAAATAAACGCACTTTGGATTTTTGTTGTTGTTGTTGTTGTTTTGAGACGGAGTCTCACTCTGTCGCCAGGCTGGAGTGCTGTGGCGCGATCTCAGCTACCTGCAACCTCCACCTCCTGGGTTCAAGCTGGATGTGTTTTTATTCTACACAAAGTAATGAATAATGACCAAGTACCACCCAGTACCATACTTTATGCCAGGTGTTAGGAAATGCAGGCATGTTCAGTTTCTGTATCTACTTTAAAGAGCTTTAGTCTAGTGAAAGAAGTAGACATTTTAAACCATAATATAGTGTAATATGTGCAATACTAGTGGTGCTAATAAAATCCCAGGGGGAAAGAGTAGGAAATAGAAATTTTTCTACAGAAAGGGATTTAGAAAGATACCTGTGTGCGTTTGCTCAGACTGCTGTGAACAGCATAGTATAAACTGGGGTGATTCGAGTGTGAGCAAACTGAAAGCTGAGAATTCAGGCTTCTTGTTCCATTTGGCTGCAAGAAGGTTGGTAGCCAGCCAGAACTTTACCCACTTACTTGTAAGAGATTGGATGTGTCTTCCTTGGTGATTCAGACCAGCCTACGAGGAAAGAGCTGATGATACTAACTTCTGGGATTCTCCAAGAAACAATGGCCCGGACGACACGATAACGGTGCTCAAAATTGACAAGCCCTGCCCAGCTGCTCAGAGTTTCCAGTTGGCTCTTTAGTCCCTCACTCTAAATCATAACAGGATAAGGACAGACTCCAGACAGCTGAAGAAAGCCTGTAACAAGGGCAATAGAAACCAAATTGTGTAAACAAGAGTTATTTGGAGATAACAAGAAAATATGCAGAGAAAAAAACCTTTAAAAAAAAACTATCGGCCGGGCGCTGTGGCTCAAGCCTGTAATCCCAGCACTTTGGGAGGCCGAGGCGGGTGGATCACGAGGTCAAGAGGTTGAGACCATCCTGGTCAACATGGTGAAACCCCGTCTCTACTAAAAATACAAAAAAAATTAGCTGGGCATGGTGGCGCGTGCCTGTAATCCCAGCTACTCTGGAGGCTGAGGCAGGAGAATTGCCTGAACCCAGGAGGCGGAGGTTGTCAGTGAGCCGAGATCGCGCCATTGCACTCCAACCTGGGTAACAAGAGCGAAACTCAGTCTCAAAAAAAAAAAAAAAAACTATCATTCATATTGATAAATATAGAAGACTGGGCACAGTGGTTCACACCTGTAACCCTAATTTGGGAGGCTGAGGTGGGAGGATCATTTGAGCCCAGGAGTTTGAGACACACTGGCAACATAGGGAGACCCTATCTTTATTAAAAAAAAATAAGAAAAAAAAATTAGCCAGGCATAATGGCACATGCCTGTAGTCCCAACTACTCAGGAAACTGAGACGAGGGAATCACTTCAGCTCAGAAGGTCAAGGCTGCAGTGAGCCATGCTCGCACCACTGCACCCCAGCCTAGGCAACAGAGTCAGGCCTAGTCTCAAAAGAAAAAAAAAGAAAGCAAAACAAAACAAAAAGATATAAGAAAAAAATGTATAAAACAGGCAAAAATAAATGAAGCTTCAGAGAAAATAAAAATTTTTAGTTATCAGATATATGGTAGCAGAGATTAGGAATATTACATGAGAGGTTCAGTGGAGTCCTAGAAATACAAAACCAAAAACATGGAGGGGGAAATAACCAATGAAGTAATTCAAGGAAATTTCCTAGAACTGAAGGTCATGAGTAACAAGACTGAGGGGCTCATTGTTTTCCTAGAATAATGGATAGAAAATAAACAGCCATCAAGGCACTTTGTAGTGAGATTTCAGAACACTGGGCAAGGCAGATTCCTGAGTTCTTATAAGAGAAAACAGGTAACATGTACTATCTCAAAAATAGAAAGGGCTTAGCTTTTCAATATCCACAATATTAATAAAAGCAATAAGGGTGGACACAGTGGCTCATGCCTGTAATCCCAACACTTCAGGGGGTCAAGGCGGGAGGATCACTGAAGCCCAGGAGATTGAGACCATCCTATGCAACATAGCAAGACACCGTCTCTACAAAAATAAATAAATAAATAAATTAGCCAGTCATGTGGCACACATTTGTGGTCCCAGCTACTGAGGAAAGGGAAATGAGGGAGCTAAAGTGGGAGGATCACTTGAGCTTGAGAGGTCAAGGCTGCATGGAACTGTGATCATGCTACTGCACTCCAGCCTAGGTGACAGAGTGAGACCATGTCTCAGAAACAAAATGCATCTTTCAATAATTAAATGATTTCAAGGTCATATACTAATAACCCAGCTAAAGGTTATGGGAATTCCTAAATTCCTTTTATAGATAGAGAAGAGGAAGGAAGAGGGCGAGGAGAGAAAGGCAGGAAGGCAGGAAGGAAGGAGAAGAAAAGACAACACAAACATGGGACAAATAACCTCCCTGAGTAAGCTCCCAACCCACAAGATAATCTTATGTATTTATATATTTACATATTTATGTTTTGAGACAGGGTCTCACTAAGTGACCCAGTCTGGGGTGCAGGGGTGTGGTCATGGCTCACTGCAGCCTTCTCCCAGTCTCAATAGCTCAATCGATCCTCTTTACTCAGCCTCCTGAGTAGCTGGGAATACAGCCTGGTGCTACCACACCTGGATAATTTTTTTTTTTTTTTTTTTTTTTGAGATGGAGTCTTACTCTGTAGCCCAGGCTGGAGTGCAGTGGCACAATCTCGACTCACTGCAACCTTCGTCTCCCGGGTCCTGGTTCAAGCAATTCTACCTCAGCCTCCCTTGTAGCTGGGATTACAGGCACAAGCCACTATGCCCAGCTAATTTTTGTATTTTTTAGTAGAGATGGGGTTTCATCATGTTGGCCAGTCTTGAACTCCTGACCTTGTGATCTGCCTGCCTCAGCCTCCCAAAGTTCTGGAATTACAGGTGTGAGCCACCGTGCCCAGACATTTTTTTTTATTTTTCAAGAAAAATACATCTATGCGCTACCACATCCGGCTAATATTTCTATTTTCTCAAAAAATCAGCCGGGTGTGGTAACGCATAGCTGTAGGGCATAGGGTCTCCCTGTGTTGCCCAGGCTGGTCTCATACTCCTAGGCTCATGGGATCCTCCTGCCTTGCCCTTCCAAAGTGCTAGGATTACGTGCCTGAGCCACCGCACCCTGCCAAGGTAATCTTTTAATGACAGCAAAATCTGTGACCAATGTAATCAGAAAGTAGCTTTAAAATGAAAGGGCAGGGGAGAAGGTTTACCATTGTTGGGGTCATGAATTATGCAGAACTAATTCCAGAATTTTGCCCTCAGGCCTAAGGAGACAGTCACTGAGAAAAGGGGCTGAAACACAGGCGTGCAAGCTGAGAGCCCCGTGTTTGGCCCTATGGAAAATGAGCAGGAATGTCTCTTTGGCTTTTTCTCTCTGAATTTTAATCTAAAAGGAAAAAAAAAAATAAGGGAAGGAATGGGAAGATAAGGAGCCTTTAATGATTTCTTACATTTCTCTTGCTAATTTTCCTCCACCTACATTCTGGCCCAAGGATACTCTTGGATTCAAATCTCATTTTCATAGCCACTGCTTCTTGTGAAGCATTGATGGGGGTAAAGTTTGTATATAAAGTAGTCTAGCACTCCCTTGAGAGGCTAATCAATATAAGAGATGTTCAAAAGTACAGGGCAGACTTTACCAGCTTCTCCCTCCCACAAACCAAAAGAGTGTTACATGAAAGAGCTTTTATTTAGAGAGTTAAGGGAATAGGTTAGGTTAGTCACGGTGGATCACACCTGTAATCCCAGCACTTTGGGAGGCCAAAGGAGAGTGGACCACTTGAGGTCAGGGGTTCAAGACCCACCAGGCCAACATGGTAAAACCCTATCTCTACTAAAAATACAAAATTTAGCCTGGTGGGTTGGCATGTGCCTGTAATTCCAGCTACTCAGGAGGCTGAGGTAGAGGGATTGCTTGAACCTGGGAGGCGGAAGTTGCAGTGAGCTGAGATTGTGCCACTGCACTTCAGCCTGGGCAACAGAGTGAGACATCAACTCAAAAGAAAAAAAAAAAAAAGAGAGAGAGAGAGAGAGAATAGATTAAATATTGTCATGTTGCCCCACAAGATAAATGGATGTTGGGCCACCACTGGCCTTCCAGATGTCTTGGACTCAATCCATTGTTTAGAAAAGGCCTTACAATGTCCTTGGTCATGGAAAACCTGTGGGTAACTTTCCACATACGTTCTGAAGGGATAGATCAAAGTCAGAGGTATGGGTGGCATTCTCTTGTTTATTTATTCAATGAATATTTAGGGGAGTTTATTATGTGGCAAAGGAGTGAACAAAGAGACCCAATTCCTGCCCACGTAGATCTTACCTTCTCATGGCAGAAAGAATATAGACAATAAACAAAGAGTAGAAACTATCTTTAACTTGCTAGCCATACAAAAGCAGATGGCAGACCAGAACTACCTTACAGGCTTTAGTCTGTCAATCACTGATCTAAAACAGTGGAAGCACAGAGTTGCCACTTACTGAGATGGGAACAACTTCTGAGAGGAGCAGACTGGGGCAAATGGCAGAGTAGATTAGCCAGAGGTCGGATAATCTACCGGGGTTGAGTTGAGTTAGAAACAGTGAGGATGAAGACCATCACCTCACAGCAATGGGAAGGTCTATTTCAGTGATGGATTCGTTTCTTAAGAGAAGTATTAATTTTTATTCTCATTTTCATCATACGCCTGAAAGTTTATTTTACTGCCAGTTTAATGTCTATCTACAAATTTAAGTTTAGTGATTCCACAACCAAAAAAAGATCATGTTTTAAAGGTTACAAGTCCATTTACTTAATATTTCTTTCTCAACACCAAGCTTCACTTGTCATACCTTCTTCAATTGCTTAATTCGTTTGATTGGTTGAGCAAACCATATGCAATATGGAAGTCAGTATATCTTCTCTGTGTGTGTGCGTACATGCATGTAATTTTATAGAAGAAAGGAAGCCATTGTTTAGAAAGAATGCATCGGATTTTTTTTCAGTTTGTCAATGGGAAAGGTCAAATAAAGCTATTTCTGTTGGTTTTGTTTTGGTTTTAACAGCATTCTGAGGCAGTCATATTTCCCTTGGGGAAATATTAGTAGAAGCATTTCTAACTTGGAAAGAACATAATCTCACGTTTCCAAATCATATCTAATATATTGATCCATTTGTCAAATATATTTATATTCATCAAAAATTAATATCAGAATCCCAGGGGAAGTCTTCTAGATATTTTGTAAATATCAGGTATGAGGAAGACATAGTAACTATTATGGTTGTTTGGATTTGTTTTTACTTAGAATTGTGTGTGTGTGTGTGTGTGTGTGTGTGTAGATATATAGTGAGATGATATCTATATGAGATGATATATCTATATTAGTCCTTCTTTTGGGATTTTCAGAAACAAATGTACACAGTCTGAACTACCGTCAACATTTTATTTGTATAAGCCATTCAATATGCATAGAGTGGAAGGTATTTTGTGGCAAAATGAAGGAGGGAAAGTAAGAACAAGTCGCTTGAGTTAAATAAATTTGAATGTGAGTCTGTGGGAAACGGAAGCCAAACAAAGTTTAGAGCAGAGTAACATGATGAAAAACATGCTTTAGGAATATGTGTTTGGTTCTGGAGAATGAAATGAACCAGAATGAGGAGAGATGAAGGCAGAGGGGCCAGGTAGGTATAGCTGTCATATTTCTGATGAGAGGTAATAAAACCAGATCAAAGCAATGGAAACAGAAAATAGGAGTG